TCTAACACATACCTAGCTAGATTACTTACTAAAGTTCTAAGACTCCATTCCTGTTCTATCCCCAGCAAAAGCAGCATACAGACAGACGCAGACCCTTTGTTTCTCTCCCTCCTCCCAGCTTTTGAAAGTATCTTGTCTCCTCATTGGTCATTTTGGTCAGGTGCCAGCGAGGTTACCTTTAGCTTCTTAACCCTTTACAGGTGAGAGGATTTTTCCTCTGACCAGGAGGGATTTTAAAGGGGTTTACCCTTCCCTTTATATTTATGACATCCAAACAAAACAATGCAAAACTTTAGAGCCTACAAGTCCACCCAGTCCTACTTCTTGTTCAGCCAATCACTAAGACAACGAGTTTGTTTACATTTACGGGAGACAATGCTGCCCACTTCTTATTTACAATGTCACCAAAAAGTGAGAACAGGCGTTCTCACGGGACTTTTGCAAGGTATTTACATGCCAGATATGCTAAACATTCATATGACCTCTTGAATGGTGGATGAAACATGAAGGAACATATGAATCTTTAGCACATCTGGCATGTAAATATCTTGTAATGCCAGCTGTAACAATGCCATGCAAACACCTGTTCTCACTTTCAGGTGACACTGTGAACAAGAAGCAGGCAGCATTATCTCCTGCAAATGTAAACAAACTTGTTTGTCTGAGCAATTGGCTGAACAAGAAATAGGACTGAGTGGACTTTGTTTTGTTTTTTTTAATGCAGTTATTTTTTGTACATAATTCTACATTTGAAAGTTCAACTTTCATGACAAAGAGACTACACTACAGTACTTGTATGAGGTGAATTAAAAATACTGTTTCTTTTATTTATCATTTTTACAGTGCAATATTTGTAATCAAAGTATAAAGTGAGCACTATACACTTTGTATTCTGAGTTGTAATTGAAATCAATATATTTGAAAATGTAGAAACATTGAAAAATATTTAATAAATTTCAAATTCAATAAATTCTATTGTTTAACAATGCAATTAAAACTGATTAATCACAATTAATTTGAGTTAATCGTGAGTTAACTGCAATTAATTGACAACCCATATTTATATATAGTTGTATGCTAAATAGGGTGGAGTTGTAGAATTATAGAAGCATAAAATTGATCAATGGGTAGAGGGAATAATCATGTATTAGGTATCTAAGTAAGCAGAGCTGAAACGCAAGGCCTACAGGCTGAGGCCTGTAAGATTTTCGTTTAGCCATACTAGGCCTTGGAGCTAAGAAATGCTAACATAAGTATGTGACCAAAGAATAACCAGATTCCCTAAGATTATGGGAGAAGAGGTACTAAAAAATTAGCTGGAAGATTAATTTTAAATCATAAAAAAATTCTGTAAAAGGTAATCTGTTCCAGCATGTGTCTTAACCAAAGGATACAGGATTCGTGTCAGTGCTAATGAGGGTAAAGAGAGCCTACGCAACCTTTACACAAGCCTAGAAATCAGGGCCCCGTAAGTTTCTAGGGAACATCAGACCAATAAGGAAAAAGAAGGTTGACATTTTTATGGACATGCGCAGAATGTAGGTATAGACAGAATCACATTATAAACGAGAGTGCCCCCAGAGCAGGAAAACTGAGCTCCCTATGGGAAACTCCAGCAGGAACCATCCTTCTATTGATGATCAATCCATGAGACGCATCAGACCCTAACACTATTGTTAAGGATGTAAGTATAATTATATTTGTAACTTGCTTGGGTAATCATAACTTCAATGGTAACTTTTATTAAAGTTATAAAACAGACTAAACCTTGTACTTGTGAATGTATGTGTGGTCACTACCCTTGGTCTTTATGTGTTCCTAGAGATTCTAAATCTAAAGCAAGTAGCAGAGGTGACTTTCACTGTTAAGCTTGAAACTGTAGCCGCCAGAGTCGAACCCAAAGTGGTGTAATACCACATTACAAAATTCACTTTAAATAAAATAAAAGGCTCCACTAGTTTGGTGGAAGCCAGGATGAGACCTTTATGTTGGTAGGCTGGCTACTGGCGTCAAGGCCGTGCGACATAATAGCATAGCATTAAGGCACCCAAAGATATAAGGTAGATGGTAAGAACCCCTTGCTGATCTGTGTAATTCCCAAAATGTCACAAGGTCCCCACAGCCTTTGGTAGGCATGATCTCCAAAACCAAAAGAGAATTCTCCATATATACAAAGCTAAGGGCTGTAGGATTATTGTGGATGTAATAGTTTCTAGTGAAATTTTGCATGTGAACTGATATTTCAGAAACTTCACTTTTTTGCCATAAAACAGTTTGTATGGCCAGAAGAACACTTATGAAAGGTTAATCCTGAGAATTACAAAAACTGCAATAAATACAAACCAGAAACAAGAAAGGTTATAGGAAATGAAGGGAAAGGCAGAGATTTTGCCTACAAATAAACCTATATACTGTAATTCTAACATGTCTCATACAAGATACCTTATACTCCAAAAACATGCTTAAAAGAGTCTCTGAACTGGGTCTCACTAAGTACCCGACCATATAAAATGGGACTAGTACTGCTGACAGCTAGCGCTGAAAATGTAATGAAAGACATTGCTCCAAAGCCACTATAGCCACAATAATAAGAATGAAAAGAGAGGATGCCTGCATTCCTGCAGAAAAATAGCATCCCCAAGATGCCAGGCAACCACAAAACATTCAATAAAGTATGCTGAACTGTTCCTAAAGTAAAAATAACATTCAGCAGCTTCACAGCAGTCCTAACTGCCGACAGTGAAATACTTCTGTGTACACAAAAAGCTACTAGACTTTTTAACACTCTTGTGCGCCTTATCACACTCCTCAACCCCCCACCCGCAGTAAAGTTACCATTCCCATAGAGTTAATATGGGAGTATATTTCTTCAGCTATAACAATAATATATTGAGGCCTAATTAAGTAATAGTTTTAAGATGCTTGGATGGTCTTAGGTGAAATGTAAACTACAGTTATTTCAATGTACTGATCCTGCAAACACATGCCTAACTTTACTCATATGAGTTGTTCTCTGAAGTCATGTAAGTATTTTCAGGACAGTGTGTGACCCAAGAACTCCTTTATTCCAAATAGTAAGGAGGTTACAAGAATATCCTGATTCCGGTATATACATTCTGGTTCACCACAGAATGTCATGTGAGGTCTTAAATGAAATCCAGGGTCACAATGGTATTGTTATGAATGTATGTACAGATACTATATAAGGAATGATTATGAATACTGAAAATAACTTCTTGGTTTCTGTATCTCAACAGAGATGGAGAAACTGGTTTCCTGTCAGACAAAAGATGTATATTCACCTGTCTCCCTGTCAGCATGTAAATTAAACATTGCAATCTAACACAATGGATGCACATTTACAACAGAGAGATATAAAGTTAATAGGGAAGAGCAAAGAGTAAAAACAAGCGATGGGAGTTACACTCTCTGAGTGCAGACAATGAACTTTGAGGATATAAGTAGAAGGGTAAAAAGACACCCTCTTATCCCGTATCGAGGAAGTAAACAGGCAGTGTGTTTACATTCATGAAAACAGAATCACAACCAGCCTTGGTTGAAGACAACATTGCAAAAAGCTTTGAGTGAGAGAAACTTCATTAGACAGGAAGCTTAACAGTTAAGTTTAGTCTCTAGAAAGCATATTATTATTTTGATTTACATATAACGTTTTGTTTCCATTATTCTTACTTGCTATCTCTTGAATCTTCAATCTTTGATAATAAACTTATTGTTTTCACTATAAATATATTTAAGTGCTGTGATATTAAGCTAGGTGCTGATCCTGAGTTGACTCTCACAGGCTCATGTGTGCACTGTTCCCCTGAAGACAACAAACCTGGTATTTCTGTGAGTGTTCAGTATATAGAGGGTAGAGCACTACAGGGGAATGCTTCAAAGCAGTGTGGGGCAACCTGCAGCCCATGGGCCGCATCCGGCCAGTCAGGGTAATCTGCTGGTGGGCCGTAAGACAGTTTGTTTACATTGACCGTCCACAGGCACGGCCACCCACAGCTCCCAGTGACCGCGGTTCGCCATTCCCAGCCAATGGGAGCTGTGGGCGGCCGTGCCTGTGGACAGTCAATATAAACAAACTGTCTGACGGCCCGCCAGCAGATTACCCTGACAGGCCGGATGTGGCCCATGGGCCGCAGTTGCCCCCCACTGCTTCAAGGACTCAGGGACTGGGTGCACAGATTGTTAACTTGCAAGGAAAAGTAGGGGCTGGCATAGCCCATAAGAGAGTGCCTGGGTGGCTAACAGGTTATGTCATGTCATGGAGCTCACACCCCGTTAGGCACCAGCAAGCCTTCCTCTTGCTGGAGACAGCGGAGAGAGGGCAACAAAAGGACTCTCAGTCCTGGGTAACCTGAAACCATCACACTGGAGTCTCAAGTTTGTTCATTAACCTTTTCCTCAGAGTGTATAAGAGATAGGAATTATAAATTAATATTTATATTTTTATTTACAATATTCAGGTCAAATCTTTGGTAAAACAGGCAAATTGTATTTAGGTTTCCACACTAAAACAGCCATGACTCTAATGGAAGTCTAGCTATCTTAGGTACACATATGTACCTCATTTCCACAACACCTGAGTCTTTAATGTATCTATCCTCAGGACACCCCTGTGAGGTAGGGAAGTGCCTCTTATCCTCATTTTTACAGATGGGAAACTGAGGCCCAGCAGCCCAGATCCTCAAGTACTTGGGTGCTACATCAACAGGAGTTAGATGCCTAAAAACCTTTGAGGATCTGGGCCAGAGAGGTTGTGATTTTCCCCAAGTAACAGAAGAAGCTAGTAGGGGAGCTGGGGATTGAACCCAGGGCTGCTGAGTTCAAAGGTAGCATCCTCAGCACTGACCAGGCTTCATGAGAGAATCACGCCCATGTAAGGGCAGGTAGATCTGGGGCTCTCCATTTTTATTTTGTAGCAGCATCTGATGAGTCTCTGGGATTTGGGATAAATCAGCCGGAGAAAGGCTTTCAGTTACACTCACCTCCTGAGGTGACCTGTGCCCTGCAACTGCCCAAGGGAGCTCCCCAGCTAGACTGGGCATCTTCTTGTTATTCCTGTGCTGTGGCTTGTATTGGTGCAGTCCCCACACCAGAAGGGCAGAAGTCACACAGGGCAGGAAGCCGAGACTGCCAGAGGTACCTGGTGCCCAGGGCTCAAGCCCCGCCGGAGTGCAGCAAGGTGCCCAGCACCTCACACCATTGAGCCGGTCCGTGCAAGGAGGGAGCGGTGTATCTCATCAGCAGGGGGCAAGCAGGTGGGAGCGGGGCTTTTCACAGCTTCCCGGTGCCTTCCAGAGACACCACGGAGCCCACGCACCTTTCCCGCGCAGCCAGCGCCCCACCCAGGGAGCCGCACGCGCTAGGCCGGCACGCGACAGCGGCCCCTCCTAGGTTCCCCCAGGGCTGCAGCCTCTCGCTCTGGCCGTGACTAGGTAGCGGAGGCTCAAACTTCCCCCTGATCAGCGGGAGCAGCAGCCTGCCCGCCCCCTTGCCATGCTTTTTGTAGTAGGGGCGTGACCGATCCCAGACCGCTTTCTGGGGTTCGCTTATTCTAAATCTAACGGGGATGAGGGGATTTTTTCCCCCCCTTGCAAAATTGGTCTAAGAATTTAAGGCAGGTTTCTTTGTTTAAGGCCAGCTCATCAGATTGCAAAATAATTTGCATGTGTGTGCAGTGAAACAGAGCAGACTGAAATGGGCTCTCAGCGTGGTGCGACTTTAAAAGCAACGGCTTAGAGGGTCGGTTTGTTTTACTTGAGCTTTTTTTTTTTTTTTTTTTTTTTAAACAGCAGGTATTGTTTGCTTGATTTATGGGGACGGAATAAAGGTAGGGGTTAAAAAATTTTATTAACGAAGAGTGGGGAGGAAGAGACCAGGTCAGGCATCCAAATGTGAGAGTCCCTCCCCAGAAACAGAAAACGTATTAAATTGTAATGTCCATAGTGAGAAGCAGGCTTTAAAAGGCAGTGACAGCGATTAACAGTCCCAGCCAGGTGAGAGCAGAGCGCCTGATCCTGTGATCCTTATTTACATATTATACAAGGCTATCTGTGAAAGCATGTATGAGTGTAGATGGCAGGACTGAGCCCTAACTCCACAGTGAACTTGTCATTCAACCCCAGTCATGTAGGAAGAGCAGTACTCCCTAGTTAAGAGGGATAGGCCCTTCCCATTTCCAACACCCTTCTTAAAATACTTGTAGTCCACCTATGCATAGTTGAGTGTCCATTTTGATGAGGTAAAGTGCTAAAATTTATTACCCTCTGTCACTGATATCATACCGACTAAATGGGTTTTCATCCTCATTATCCGGGTGGGAGGTGAGATTGTTGGTTTTGTTTTGTAAAGAGGACTATGGAAGCCAAATCCTCACATTAAAGGGCAAAACCTCAATTGACTTGACTGGGCCTTCAGTTATACTCAAGTCAAACCCCCAAGACTGGATTCTCCACTGCCATGTATCTTGTGTAATTATTTACATATGTGCAAAGTGGGTAGAAAAAAATACTATTCTGATTGGTACCATCAGACTACACAAGGTGTAAGGCAGTCGAGAATCAGATTCTCAGTGCTTTTCATTTGACCTGACCAAGGACTAAAGACTACCTTCTCTCCACAGTTTCACTATGCAAACCCATGGGTTAATGGGGCATTGTATTGATGTAACACGACAGAATTTGAGCCTGAGTGAAGGACTTTAGAATTTTTTTTTTAAATAAAAAGTAATATTCTTAGTAGGTTCAAAGTTTTACTAAAGTAAGATTATGCAAGAGCACAGAATCTGCAGTCTCTTTAAAAAAAATTATACAAGATGTCATACCTACACAATCTGCCCAATGAGTTTACCATTAATTTGACATGTCTAGTGCAATACAGTGATGTGCATTTCTTGCATGCATCAAATCAAACTTTTAAAACTCTTGTTCCCAACATTTACCTATATAATTGTAAAAATGACTGCAACACTTGGAATTTTGTTATATTGAAAGGACTTTGGAATTATAGATACTTTATATACCAGTTACCACAAGCCATACAGGAGTGGCTTTTGGAACTGTCTAATGAGAGAAAATACTTTATAATCTCAGAATAAAAGAGGCAGGAGAGACCTTTAAAATACATTCAGTACTGAAATACAGACAAAATTTGAGTGATTCTAGTTTAAGGCCAGAAGGGGCCAACAGATGATCTAGTTCAACCTCTTATATATCACAGGCCACCACCACTAGCATCTACACACCCACACACAGTAAACTCAACAACTGAAATTAGACTGAACAATTACAGCCCACAGGAGACTAGATTAAATTTTAGCTATTTGGAAGTAAATTTATTTTTGTGAGCTTGAAGTAATTTAGTTTTTTTAACTCACCCCCTCTTCATTTAATTCAGTAATGGAACATCCTAAATGCTCAGTTTTTCTAGATGCTTCTTATCAGTGCCTATACTACTGCTCCTTTAATTTCTGCTCCCATTTACACATTAAGAACCAAGTCCTACAGTTCTCACTCAATTGTAATTTAGACAACTCTACCATGAATTGGAGTTCTGCCTCAGTGAGAACTATAGCACCTAATCCAAAAATTACAGTACAGGTTCCAATAGATCTAAGGAGAATAGGCAGCAGCAAAAAGGATAATTAGAGGATTGGTTTGTCCTTTGCTGTATTTGGTGAGCTGAGTTTCTGTGCTTTATAATGAGGATTAATGACCAGCTGGGGTTAATGGCCCTCAGCCACACCTCAGACCATTAACTCCTCCCTACCAGTTATTAATCCCCAGGAAATGCCATGCACCTCTATCTTTATGATTAAGCAATAAACAGTGAGGGATGATCAACCAGTTAAGTCCCTTGCATAGCTGAATATTCCTAGTTCTATATTTTTACATACAGCATTTCATGCGGTAGAAAAAACTGTTTAGATGTCATCACTTTAAGGTTATAGAAGGAAAAGTAAATGTATTTAAATTGAGTAGAAAAAAAAACAGTCTGTTCACTTTATTTATAACCCTTTATAATAAAAGCATGCTCTTTATTCCTTGTGGTATCTAAACACTTTATGGTATTACAAAAATCCATCATGTAATCCAAATGCCATTGAACTTTGGATTCTTCTCTCCCTTCAACCCCTGGATGCAGGGCAAGGATGTGTAATATTTTTGTTTAATTCTTAATATTGCTCTTAATGCAGGAAAGTTTCAGACAGGAAGGAAGGCTTATGTGGTCCCCTGACGATGGTAAGATCCATGGTCATTCTACCATACTGTGGAAGGGAGATCTAAAGCCCTGGGTCAGATGTTGTTTTGCTATGCGACACCTGTGGTCTTAATTTTTCCCTCATGAAAATCAGTGATAAAACTCCCATTGAAGTCAATGGAAGTAGGATTGGGTCCAATGCTATTCTATATATAGGGCCCTACCATATTCACGGCCATGAAAAATGTGTCACAGACTGAAATCTAGTCTCTCCCTCCCCAGTGAAATCTGGTCTTGTGTGCTTTTACCCTATACTATACAGATTTCACAGGAGGAGACCAGCGTTTCTCAAACTGGGGGTCCTGACTCAAAAAGGAGTTGCAGGGAGGTCACAGTTATTTGGGGGGTGGGGGTGTCACGGTATTGCCACCCTTGCTTCTACGCTGCCTTCAGAGCTGGGTGGCTGGAGAATGGTGGCTGTTGGCCGGACGCCCAGCTCTGACGGCAGCGCCCCACCAGCAGCAGCACAGAAGTAAGGGTGGCAACGCCATACAATACACGCCACCCTTACTTCTGTGCTGCTGCCTTCAGAGCTGGGCGAGCGGAGAGTCGTGGCTGCTGACTGAGGGCCCAGCACAGGAATAAGGGGGCAATACCATACCGTGCCATCCTTACTTCTGTGCTGCTGCTGGTAGCAGCTCTGCCTTCCGAGCTGGGCTCCCGGCCAGCAGCTGCCGCTCTCCAGCTGCTCAGCTCTGAAGGTAGCACCGCAGCCATCAGCAGCAGCACAGCAGTAAGGGTAGCAGTACCGCAAACACACCCCCAATAACCTTGTGACCCCCCCCCACACACACCCCTCCTTTTTGGGTCAGGACCCCCACAATTACAACACTTAAATTTCAGATTTAAATAGCTGAAATCATGAAATTTACGATTTTTAAAATCCTCTGACCATGAAATTGACCAAAATGGACTGTGAATTTGGTAGGGCCCTATCTATATATAGGTTCTTATACAGTGCTAATCAGTGTCCTCTATTCGTGTTTACAGGGTATCTGCTTTACCAGTACCCCAGCACAGAGACAGACACTTTTATCTTCACTTAGTATTTCTGTTAGTCTGGAAACAGAACTCAAGGTTCTCTCAGAATACTACATTAATTTAGAAGATGCTCTAGCTACAGAGAAACTTTCTTTGGTTAACATCTGTTATGAGTTCACCTGCTTTATAATGTGAACTACAAGTGCTTTGAAAAGTGGACAGAAGACTGGCTAGTTTTACTGTAGCTTTCTATCCTCTTATGCAATGCCATTTTGTAATGTTTTTACAGCAGTGCTCCTCAGTACACAGTATATTAGAGGATAACTGAAGACTACCTGTGTCACAAAAGCTGTAAGGGCCTGACTCTCTCTGAACATATTAATAAGTTATACACTTAGGTTATGATCCTGAGCAAACCCTTACCCATGTGAGAAATCCTTACTCACAAACTATAAGTAATCCCATTTACCTCAGTGGGAATAAATGTGCGAATAAGGACTACCTACATGTAGGACTGCAGCCTTTAGGACACGATCCTTCACCACAGACACCTATATGAGTTTTACTATTCACTTCAATGGAAGCAAAAAAATCACATTAACATGCAGACATAAAAGAAGAGGCACTTACAGGTCACTTTCCCTAGTGATGCATGACATAACATAAATAAAAGCAGTAAAAGTGGATATTTTTACTGTCCTGCTTAAACATAATTATTTCTGTGTGTACAGTACCTACCCCCTCCATACTCTCTCCTTTCTGACAGGGTTATATTTTTCTTAGCTATTGATTGAATGCTATGTAGACATAGTCAACTTTTAAAATACTGTAAAGAACATGGTTTGAAGACTCAGTGTATCACAAGTACTATTTACCCAATGTGAAAGTTTGGTGCATCACAACTGAAAACTACAAACAATTTTTAAATCAAGATTAGATGTTTTTCTAAACAATCGCTCTAGGAATTATTTTAGGGAGGTTCTGTGGCCTGTGTTATGCAGGTCACAATGGCACCTTCTGACCTTGGACTCTATGAATCTATGACTTAACTCAAATGTCTGCTCATTAACTTTATTCCCCAGACAGGGTCTGATTCAAAGCCCACCGAAGTTAATGGTAATATTCTGATTGACATGAGTAGGCTTCGGATCAGACCCTTAGAATATATCTC